AGAGGGAGTCTCAGGCGGGGCGGGTGTACAGCCAACGAGCACCGTGGTCAGGCTCTTGACAACTTTCTATCTAGTCCTGCGTGGTCGTGTCATGGGGTATTCCCTGTCACCGGCTCTTAGGAGCGTGTCCACTATGCACTGTTCATCCAACTCTGGGGGGGGGGGGTGTCTACATTGTAACTTTAATGTCCTTCACTCCTGTTTGTTACCTCAGACCTGGTTCTCACTTCTGATTTGCGTCCGCCTTTGACTACCTTCCCTTTATATGGATTGCTGTCAAGGTGGTAGGGTCCCGCTGCCAAGCCCTCACCCAAGGGGGGGGTGTAGGTCACCCGGTGGGGGGGGGGGAGGTCCGCACCCCACAGCCCTGCTCTGCAGGCTGTCTCGCCCATTCCTCCCTCACTTTAGCTCACCTCTGGTCTGGCCTGCCCCCCCATCCCCGTCATCTCGTCAGGTCCACTAGGACCGTAGTATGTGATAAGTCGGATCCACCCCTTGTTTTTTTGTTTTGTTTTGTTTTTTATATATACGTACAGATAGATTGTGTTTTTTTTTTTTTTCTTTGTATAGTAGTGTTTGTGACGTACGCCATGTGGAAGCCTAGTATTGGGTAGCCCCGCTTCCCCCCTTTGCCTCCTTGGGACCCTGGACCCGGCCATATTGTCAGAGGTTTGCGCTATAGGGGGCCTCCCTCCCATCCACCACAGGTTCTTCCCTCGCCTGGACAAGAGAGGGACAGCCATCCCCAAGCCCGCTGTGGGGGTAGTACCGTAGTATTCGAGGTATCCCATGCCTAAGGCGGTATGTGTGTGTTTTTTTGTTTTTTTATTTATAATTTTTATACATATACATACATATACATATATACATATATATATATACACACACATACATACATACACACATTTTTGTTAATAGATGCCCCCTGCCGTTTCCCCTCCTCCCCCCGTCTCCTAGTGCCGTGACCCCCGTGCCCCAGCTGTCCCCCATGTCATAACTGTAATGTC